CTTTCCTTTCCTTTCCTTTCCTTTCCTTTCCTTTCCTTTCCTTTCCTTTCCTTTCCTTTCCTTTCCTTCCCTCCTTCCTTCCTTTTCTCTCTCTCTCTCTTATCAAATTTATACACCATCCATCTCATTGTACAAGTGACTCTAGGAGGTTTAGAAGTAAAAAAGTGATTTAAAAAAACAATAAAAATCTGTACAAAAATATACAAAGATTAAAAGGCAGAGAGAGCATCTTCAAACCACCAACCACCCCCAGTGCTGCAAAACCCCATGTGATCCCCATGCTAGTTGGCAGAGCCAGGTCTTAATGCTCTTCCAGAAGGCCAGGACAGTGGGGGCCAATCTCACCTCAGGGGGCAAGATGTTCCACAGGGTGGGGGCAAAGGCAGAAAAGGCTCTCTTTTTAGACCACACCAGCTGAAATTCTTTAGCCAACGGGGTCTGTAACATACCCTTTCTGCTGGACCAGATGGGACAGGTCAATATAACAAGGGTGAGATGATTCCTCAGGTAAGCTGGGCCTATGCCATGAAGGACTTTCAAGGTCAAAACCAGCACCTTAAATTGGACCCAGAAGCAAACTGGTACCCAATGCAGCTCATGCAGCAAAGTGTTACATGCACAGCCCTAGAGGCGCCCATAGCTGCTTATACCACCACATTCTGCTCCAGCTGCAGCTTCCGGACTTTTCAAGGGTAGCCCCATGTACAGCATATTGCAGTAGTCTATACAGGAGATGACCAGGGCATGAGTAACTGAGAGAAGGGCTTCCCGATCCAGGAATGGGTGCAACTGATACACAACACAAAGCTGAGCAAAGTCCCTCCTAGCCACAACTGCCACCTGCTCCTCCAACAGGAATAATGAGTCCAGGAGGACCCCCAGATTATACACCGGGTCTTTCTGGGGCAGTGCAATCCCATCCAGGACCAGAGATGGTAAGGCTCCAGATACAGAAGAGTCCCAAACCCACAGCCACTCTGTCTTACCAGGGTTCAGTTGAAGACTGTTGTTCCCCATCCAGACCCCCACAGCCTCCAAGCACTGGGAAAGAATATCCACAGCATCACTTAATTCACCTGGGACAGAGATGTACAACTGAGTATCATCCGTATATTGATGATATCACGTGGTGACAGATGATCTCACCCGGCAGCTCCATATAGATGTTAAAAAGGAGCAGAGAGAGCACTGAGTCCTGCCGCACCCCACAGAGCAGGGGCCACAGGCTGGACCTATTGCTTCCTTTTTATCATAAGTTTAAAAGCAGGCTCTTTCTTGTTTCTGCTGATCTGTAAGCTGCTTTATGAGACTTTCTCATTAATTTAATAAATACACATACATACATACATACATACATACATATTACATACATAAATTTGGGGGATATTTTCACTATGATGTCAGCTAGTGTAGCATAGTGGATAAGACTGAAATAATAGGGGAAGGTAAAAAATTGATTCCCAATTCAACTACCATGCTGTAAAATGTGCAAGCCATGAGGATGTTGCAAAAATGCATACCTTCTACTCTGAGGGATGGTGGAAGGGAAAGATAAAGAAATGTCCAGTTTTGAATAAATCTGAAGATGTCCAACAAACCAGCAATCTGCCAGTTCTTTCTACTTTTATTGAAACTTTTAAGCAAAAAGATAAAAACTAACACAAACTAATATAAAGTAGGGAAAAGAAAGAAAAAGAAAGAAATAAAAGAAAAAGCAAAAAGTGTAAGAAAAGAAAAGAGAAAAGAAAAGAAAAGAAAAGAAAAAAGTTGAAGAAAAATAGAAAAGAAAAAAGATATAAAGAAGTAGCTCTGCTATTCT